GGCCTTGTCTGTAGGAAGGGACCGGAGGCTGAGGGGGCGCCCGGGGCCAGGCCCGCCCCTGTGCAGGAGCCCTGTACTTACTTGGGTCGTGAGGAGCAGGCGGCTGCCACTGGGGGTAGGTGTTGCCCCAGCCCTGGGGGGGATACTGGTGGGGAGGGGGGCCCCCGGCACTGCAGGGAGAGGAAGACGGGGCTGTGCACACACGCATGGAGCTGCCCACTGTGTCAGAGGCCAGCCCACAGGGCCCTGTCACGGCCACCAGCGCAAGGACATGAGACACGTCCCGGGAGCCAGCAGGTGGCACAGTGGTTAAGGCGCCGACTCCCATGGAGCCGGCTGCAGTCCAAGTCACAGACTGGCGGCTCGAAGCTCACTCTGGGTCCGTGAGCGTGCCCAAAACCCAAGGAGAGAACAGAACAGAGAAGGGCAGTGATGGCCCACTCCCCGTCTCTCTCCAGTGAGCACATGCGTCCTGCAGCAAAAACCTTAAAAAGGCAAAGGGAGACGCATGCCCAGAACTCGCGGTTCTGGGGTACACGAGGCCCTGTGAAAGCAAGCACGGCTGACGGGCACGTGGAGCGGAGACCCAGGCCGGCCAGCCCTGCGAGCGGCCTCAAACGGCCGGGCTGGCCGTGCGTGCTCCCGCCGGGAGACGTAAACGGCACGTGCCGCTCGGGCCAGCACGGCGAGCCCACCCCGAGTCCCAGAAACAGCGATACTCACTGAGGGGGAGCCCCTGGGGGCCCCTGGTTGAAGGGGCCGGGGTTGAAGGGCCCCATTGGGCCGGCAGGGCCTGGTCCCCCGGGGCCTGGTCCGACGGGGCAGAGAGGACCCTGGAGAAGGGGGAAGGGGCAAGGTGAGTGAGGTGGGAGAGGGAGGCAAAGAGCCAGGCTCCCCGAGTCTGCCCTGAGCTACCTCGATCTTCTCCTCAATGAGCTGCTTGGCATGGTCAATCTGCTGGGGGGAGCCCCGGATGATAAACAGTTTGAAGTTGGGGTCCCCGTTGGGTGGCAGCTGCCGGGAGATCTCTACGAAGGCGCCTGTCTGCTGGTTTATGGCTTTCACATTCTCGCCACCTGTAGTGAGGGACACCGGGGTGCAGGGGTGAGGGGTGGCAGGGCACAGGTTGAGGGACAGTGGGGTGCAGGGGTGAGGGAAGGCAGGTGGAGTGACGGTTCTCACCTCGGCCGATGACCAGCCCACATTTGTGCGTGGGGATAGAGAAGGTCATCTCCCCACCAGGGGGCCCCCAGCTGCCTTGGCCTCTTCCTCGGCCCCGCCCCCCTGGGGGCATTCCAGGGCCCCCTGGAGGGCCTGGGGGCCCACTCTGCCGGACAGAAAGGAGAACGAAGAAGATGAACACAGGAGGCCAGCCCGGACCCTCGCTGGTGCAGCCCTGCCCAGCTGCCTGGACCCCCGGCCCTCAGTGGGTCTGAGCCCACCTACCCGAAGGCTCTGGAGGAGGTCGTTGATGATCCGGGCCGCATGCTCGCACCTGTCCGGGGGCCCCATTATGTGCGCTATCTTCTCGGGACCCGTCCCGTCATCTGAGGCCAGCACCAGGGAGAGAGCAGAGAACTGACTTAAAGCAGGGCCCACCTCCCTGCCCTGCGACACTGCCCCAAGGCCGACGCCTGGCCTAGGCAGGGCCTGCGGTGCGGCGGCCCAGTGCCACTTCTATCCTCGGCCTGCCCAGGAAAGCTGGCAGCAGGGAGGCTCTGGGGATTCTGGCCAGCCAGGATAGGGCAGCAGAAGGCTCCGGCGTCCCTAGAACTAACCTGTGTTTCACAGAACCTGGCTTTATCTCCGGAAAACAGTATCTAAGGGGCCTCCAGACACACTGTGTGCAAACTGGGAGAACGCAAGCGTTGAGGCAGTAATTACTGGGCATAGCCTGCTGGGTGCCACGGCCGCCCTGTCGTGAGGGGACGTTTGGTGGGGACAGGAAAACATCGCCTCTGGACTTGGAAAGACTGCAGGCCACCAGCGCTCATGGATCTGCCCCAGAGGAGGGAAGGAAAAGGCTGACTAATGGTCGGTACACGGCGTGGTGAGGCACCCGCGGCCTGACCTTGCTTGAACTGTATCCGCACACCGGCGTCGTTCTGGATCTTCTTGATCATCTCTCCGCTCCGGCCGATGACCACGCCCACAGAATGCCTGGGCACTGGCACCTGGGGGGAGAGGGGAGGCAGTGGTGGGCTGGGGTCCGGCTACAGCTCTGCTGTCCACAGGCTGACAAGACGATCCCCGCTCCCTGGTCCACACTCACGTCGATGCCCCCGCCGATCCGAGAGCCGTACTCGTTCCGGTCCCCAAAGCCGCCTTGGTCGCGCTCCCGAAGGATGTCCATCACCATCTCACAGGCTTGCTGCAAAGACGCGGGCACTGTCACAGGGCAGGAGCCCTCTCCCTGGCAGGCAGGCGGTCGGCGCTGCGGCCACGGCTGGGAGGAGGTGCAGCCGTCCGACCCCAGGCCACCTGCCCTGCCCACCCGCACTACTCCAGAACCGCCTGCCGGCACCCTGGGGCCCGCTCACCTGCACTTTGTAAGGGTCCCCAATGATCCGGAGGGGCTTGTCCACATTTGTGTTTTGGGAACCGTCCTGAATTAAGATCATCTTCACTCCGGCTCGCTCCTTTATGACCAAGGCGAACGGTTAGTGCCGGGCTTTGACAGACTCTTCTGAGCCGGTATAGGTTGGGGGCTGGGTCCTGGTGCACAAGGGTACACCCCTCACCTGCAGCTGCTTGATGGTCTCCCCGCCTTTGCCGATGACAAGGCCGGCCTTGCCTGCAGGGATCATGATCTCTTGCACAGTGCCGTTCTGGCCTCCATTGGCATTGTCGTGAAACTGTCCTGGGGGGCCCCCGCGGCCCCGAGACACAATGTCATCCAGCATCATCTTCGCCTTCCTGGCAGGGGAGGAAGGGGAGGCGCCACCTGAGAAGGACTGTGGTCTGGCGGCCCCACCCAGCTCAAGGGAAGGAGACCCTGAAGGCAGGATCTGACAGGCGCCAAGTGGCTGGTCTGGGGCTGGGCTGTTCAGACCTGGGAAGTCTGGGGGATGAGCCCGCCAGCCAGAGCGGCCCTGAAGGGCAGGAATAGATGACAGCCTGGAGTTGCCCCCGACTGTCAAAGGGATCCAGATGGCTTCTGCCTACTCCCCTAGTCCCGGCGACAAGCCCAGCCCCAGGACTTACTGGACAGATTCTGGGGCTCCTGTCAAGGACACGCTGCGCTCGGGGAGGCCACCGCTGTCTGGGGAGGAGAAGAGACAGGGTCAGTGCCCTCCCTGGCCTGCTTGCAGATGAGAACCCATGGCCATTTTCAGTTCAGCAGACTAAAAATTAATCTGCCTCAGGACCAACAGATGGCATAACGGCAACGCTGAGGAATTTGTGTGTAGTCGGCCGCAGTTTGAATCCTGGACATGGTGGTTTAAAACATGCCGGGCTCAGGTGCGTGCGTGTGTGCATGCCCAAGGTCCCTAGAGAATGAATTATAGTGCAGCAATGGGGGTGGGGGGTAGTGATCTCTTGCTCTCTGTCTCTCCACCGGGTAATCTGCCTCTCTGAACACCTGGGGGCAGTTCAATGCCAGGCTAAGAGAAGCTTACAGTCATTGGGAGACAGGACTGCCAGGGGAAAAGGTGAGGTGGAGAAGAGGCAGATTCTGCAAGGTTCAAACCCTGGCTCACCCTCCAGGACCAGGGAGGGGGAGCCTCCTCTGCAGTCAGAGTGCGCCATGGACGGGAGCGGGAGCGGGAGCGGGCGCGGGCACCCTGCGGCTCAGGGACCTGGGTTTCAGAGGTGCTGACAGCCCGTCTACAATCAGACCTGCAGCCAGAACGGGACCTAAACCCAGGGCTGAGCTCGGGGCTCCCCTCTGGCCTAGCACGCCACTGGCCTCGGCGCTCCTGCTCGCGTGTACGTCACACAGGGGCACCATGATGGCTCAGAGCAGGGTCTGCAGCAAGACCCCACGCCGGGTCCAAAGCTCCCGCTCAGTCTGTACCCCAACGTCCAAGAACAAAAGCCGCCAGCACTACTGCTCCTGGAGCTGGAGTCGGGGAGTGCTGGGCCTCACGGCCCCGGCCAGCACTAAGAGCCCAGCCCTGACCCCAGCCCTCGGCCCCACATGGGGAGGAGTCCGGCTCTCCCCTACCTGGAGAGATCTGTACTTTGCAGCCTGAATCCTGCTGGATCTTGTTAATCTGCTCGCCTCCCCGGCCGATGACTAGGTGGAGAAAAAGGAGACAAGTGAAAACTGACCCAGGGAGCTCAGCGTGGGGAAGGCGCCACCAGCCCCTTGGACACAGAGGGCGGTGTCACCCCCAGAGCACCGAGGACGGAGGGGGGACAGATGCAGGCGGTCTGCAGGCTCCTGGGCTATCCCCGACACCTCCCTGCAGGGGGACAGATGCAGGCAACCTGCAGGCTTCTGGGTTATCCCTGACGTCTCCCTGCAGGGGGACAAGGTCTCCCTGGCCAGTGACCCACACTCACTCAGGCCCACCATGCCGTCAGGAACCCTGTACTCCTCTGTCATCGAAGTCCTGTAGAGAGAACGCTGACAGTCAGTCTCAAATGATGAGGAGGAGGGCAGAGCATCCACGGGGTCTCAGAGAACAGGCCCCAGTCCCCACAGGCCTCAGCAGAGCGTCACTGCAGATGGGGCTCCTCCTCCCCACAGCGGCCATGTCACCTCTCGAGGTCTCAGTTTCCCCATGTGTGCTGTGAGGCCTGGGCTGGGGCAGCGGGCCCCACTGCATCCAGCGATGCAGGGAGATGCACCAGGACGCTTCCCCAGCAGGCCAAGGAGTCGCCGCCTTCTGCCTGCAGATTCCTGACCCCGCTAAGAGTGGGCCGTGTACCCTGCTCCTTTCCCTGCTGGGTCCCTTTTCTTGCCTTCCAAAACTACTAACCCAATTTAGAAAAGGAAAGAAAAACTGGCCCTTCACAGACAACCTATGTCAGGTCCACCTGCCTCCCCGGGACGGCACAACAGCAGGGATGCCAGGCTGCACCAGCACTCCGCATCGGCATTTGGAGGGGGCGAGGCGGCCAAAGCTGTCCCCAGCCCGCTCTGGGAAGAGGGTCTGTGCTCTCAAACATCCTCATCCAGATAAGGGAGCACCAGGAAGCAGAGACCCTGCTGCCACCCAATGACTAGTTCTGCCACCTCCGCCCACAGCCCTGCAGACCAGCGGGGACAAGGGGAGGGACACAGCCTCTCAGCCATCGCTCCTGTCCACACGCTCTGGCTAGCTCCGGCACTCTGCCACGACAGAGCCTCCCCCCGCCATTAAGCAAGGAAGACCGGAGACAGTGGAACCCCATTCTCCCAATCGCAGCTTACCTTGGGGGGGGATGGATGGGCCCAAGTTGAGAACTGATTGCTGCAAAGAGAAAACCCAAGAGGAAGGTTGGCTTGGCCCTTTTTGGTGGCTAATGCTACCCGTTCTGAGGTCCCTTGTCCCCACGAGGCACAGGGGCCTAGAGACTGTCACAGTGGCAAGTGGACCCCAGTGCCTGATGATCCTGCAGCCCCCTCCCACCAGAGCACAAGCAGCTTTTCGGCCTCCACTTCAGGGGTGCTGGGATCCCTAAAACCCACAGGCCCCGGACGGTGAAGCCCGGGAGCCTCCACGGAGCAGTCGCCATGAGCTCGGCACTCCTGGCTCTCGGCTCCTCCAGGCCCAGAGCGCCCTGCCCGCACCTCCGGTGGACTTACAGTCTCCTTGGGAAGCCAGCTTCTTGCTCTCTGGCTGATCTGTGAGAGGGAGACGGCATCAGAGACCGTGCCTGCCCACCGGTGGCGGCTCAGGCCGTAGGCAAACCTTCGCCGCACCCCATCCCAACACCAGGTAGGCAGAACAGACCACCTAGAGGCAGTGGCCTCTGGGAAGGCCCCCCCAGGCTCGGAGTAAATGGCCCCTGAAGACAAGGGAGCGGACACGATGGCCCGCCCAGTCCTTCAGGCTGAGGACCAACTTGCCCCTGGAGAGAGGTAGGAGGGGTGCTCGGACAGGTCAGCACCCAGCACTGGCTCCTGGTCCTTGGGCTGGCCAAACTGCCCACTGGGTCATCCCATACCTCCCAGCCTCCCAGAGAGGGAGGACAGTTCTGGGAATGGACAGCCTGGGCCTAGTGCCCTGCACGTGCCCTGCTTTCGGCCACCCACTACCTCAGGACAGACATGAAGGATGCAGAGGGCCGGGAGTGCAGAGGTTTTATACCACCACACAGCCCCCATCTAAAGCACCCCATCTGTCCCCAGCCCCTCCTCCCAAACTAGAAAAGCAGGGGCGGGGGTTACCTCCGTCTTCCAACTGTCTCTTTTGGCCCCCAAACCCAAAATCGGGAGTGCTGTTGTTCACGGTGGTGGCAGCATCGCCCCCGATTTTGGCTGCGATCTGGAAATGGACAGGAAGCAAAGGAGAGTCACCACCAGGAAGCCCGGGGCTCGGGGCAGCCTCCCCCGTCTCTGCTTTAGGAAAACCATAGGTCTTGCCATCTGGTCTATGAGGGGCACCCACCAGTCCACGATTTACGGACATGCTCGACGCTCAAGACCACCTTGAGTTTTTACCGAAGGCCCCCAGGTTCCCAAGGCACCCAGGACTTTCCAAATGCCCCTTTCCTGCTCCGTGATGAGGCCTGGGTCTAAACGGTCTGTGCCAGGCTGCGATTCTCACTGACACGGTCCGGGAGGTCCGGAAGGCCCAGAGCCCAGAGCCTAGGAGGGTCCCCAGGAGTTCGCCATGAGCAGAGATTCCGGACATCCCCCGGTGCAGGTGCAGGTGGCCCGGGCCAGAACCTCAGGCTGGTTCTTCGGGATGCTTTAGAGCACAAGCTTGCCTTACGGCCCCATGCCCAGGCTCTGCATGAACCCACTGGGCGGACCGTGGGGAAGCTTTGCTTGGAGGTATCCAAAATCCTCATTTGACCCAAACGGAAGACCCTTTAGGCACAGATTACACTTGCGACAAGGCAGACTTCACAGGTGTCCCCATCAACGATCCAGCAAACTTAGCAAAGTCTGCCTGTGGTCCAGGAGCCCCACACCTGAGCTAAGAGGGGCCTCTCCACCTCTCAACTCCTTTTCTTCTTCTTTTTCTTTTCCTCCTAAATTTTTACCCTTGAACCAAAGCTCTTGGGATGCCTATTTGGGGCTCGATCCACCCCAACTGACAACACTATCTCCCCCAGTAGCTGCCTCAGGATGGAAGCACCAGACTAGACGCACTTTACGGAACGACCCTAGGAAGCCAGAGCCCACTCTGGGCAGGAACACAGGTCTCCGAACAGGACCTCCCATCCCAGGATGTCCCCCTTGGGCCTGAGCCACTCTTCCTGGAAGGGCGGCCAAGTCCTCCCATCACGGCCCCCACCCCTCCAGGCTGCAGACAGGCTGTGGATGGAGCCGGGGAGGTCGGTCACACCAGCATGTGACACTTCCTTGTTGTCATCGCGCCTCAAAACACCACCGTGGGACCCTCTCCTCTTCCCCCAAAGGAGACAGACCAGGCTCTAGAGTCACCCAAAGCACTGAGAACCCGTTTCCATGCCCACCTTCCCCGGTTCACCCAAATGTTCAACCACTCCAGTTCCAAGAGGGTCCCTTCTCTACTTTGCAGACTCCAGGGTGGGAACTGCCCCCCTCAAGTCCCTTCTTCCTAGAGTGGGGACAGAGACGGGGTTGGGCTGGGAAAGAGATGACCCTTTGCCCTGATGTGGAGAGGGAAGCAGGACAATATCCTGGGCCGGGAAGGTGGACCCGCTCCCTCCTGGAGAGCGGTGCATGCCCTCGCGGGCCCTAAGGGGGGGGTCCCAAAGAGAGTCTCCGAGCTCCGCGGCCCTGCACACCCAGGCAAGGCTCTCGGGGACCCCCCCAAAGCGCCCTTACCCCTTGCAGGAGGGTCACCCTCGAGGAGTCCACTCCAAGCGCCGCGGGAGGGCCAGGACCCCCTCCTAACGTCCACGTGACCCCCCCGAGGGCCCCGGGCCCCCCCGACGGCGACCCCGCGCGCGCGCACGTGACCCTCGCCCCCTCCCCCGCCCGCGCGCGCGTCCCTCGGGTCCGCGGCCTTCTCACCTGGCG